TGCCGTGGTCCCACCCCCCCCCCCCCCCCCCCCGTCTCCCCCCCCCCCTCCCCCGTCAATCTCGAACGGCCCGAGCCGTCGGTGTCACAAAAGTGAACGGCGTCTCACCGGTGCCAGAACCCAGGGAGGGGCCGGTGGGAAGGAGGCGCCCGCGGACAGTCGCCGAGCGCCGCGGGCAGAGTTGCCGAGAAGAGACGGAGAGGAGCGGGCGGGCGGCCTCGGGTCGCGCCGTTTGGACGACCGCTCCGAGACGGAGGGGGGACCGGGGGAGGGAGCCCCCCCCCCCCCCCCCCGTTACGAGTCCCCGGTGGGCAGTTTCGCATTAACATAAAATGACATCACGGCGTCAAACAACAACAAAAAAGATCGCCGCACGACTTCCTACATCGCGATTTTTGGGGGTTTAGTGTTCTTCAGGGTTAAATCGGAGCTCGGGGGTGGGTGGGGGGTGGGGGAGTGTAAAACAAATCAAAGGATCGGTTTGACACGCAACCGATGCCGCTCAGTATTTCCCCCCACGCCCCCCCGCCCCCCGGTGAGCGATCCTCATTCGCCCCTCCCCACCCTGTCCCCGCCACCACCTCTCTCCAATCGCACCGACGAAGAGAACACGGAACAACGACCATCTCCCCACCACCACCACCACCGCCGCCGCCGCCGCCGCCGCAGACGCGCTGCGGTTACAAACCCGTGGAACTGAACTCCGCCGCTGGTCTCCGTTGTGCGGGCGTGCGTTGTGGGGGCGTGCGTTGTGGGGGCGTGCGTTGTGGGGGCGTGCGTTGTGGGGGCGTGCGTTGTGGGAGCGTGCGTTGTGGGAGCGTGCGTTGTGGGAGCGTGCGTTGTGGGAGCGTGCGTTGTGGGGGCGTGCGTTGTGGGGGCGTGCGTTGTGGGGGCGTGCGTTGTGGGAGCGTGCGTTGTGGAGGCGTGCGTTGTGGGGGCGTGCGTTGTGGGAGCGTGCGTTGTGGGAGCGTGCGTTGTGGGAGCGTGCGTTGTGGGGGCGTGCGTTGTGGGAGCGTGCGTTGTGGAAGCGTGCTTTGTGGGAGCGTGCGTTGTGCGGGCGTGCGTTGTGGGAGCGTGCGTTGTGGGAGCGTGCGTTGTGCAGGCGTGAGTTGTGGGAGCGTGCGTTGTGGGAGCGTGCATTGTGGGAGCGTGCGTTGTGGGAGCGTGCGTTGTGGGGGCGTGCGTTGTGGGAGCGTGCATTGTGGGAGCGTGCGTTGTGGGGGCGTGCGTTGTGGGGGCGTGCGTTGTGGGAGCGTGCGTTGTGGGGGCGTGCGTTGTGGGGGCGTGCGTTGTGGGAGCGTGCGTTGTGGGGGCGTGCGTTGTGGGAGCGTGCGTTGTGGGAGCATGCGTTGTGGGGGCGTGCGTTGTGGGAGCGTGCGTTGTGGGAGCGTGCGTTGTGGGAGCGTGCGTTGTGTGCGCGCGGACAAAAAAATGTCGCTCATTTAGTGTCGGACGTTTCACCCCCTCCCTTAGGCCGACGGTGGAGACTCGATGAGCCCGGCGACGTCTTTGGGTGAAGAACAAAGCCGAAGTGCGGGGGGGGGGGGGGGGGGGAGGGGACGGCCAATTACACCTCGGGGCAGCGCTCGCTTGGGGACACGGGGGACAGGGGGGACACGGGGGACACGGGGGACAGGGGGGACACGGGGGACACGGGGGACACGGCCACAGCCGAGACTCAGAGTCTCCGTTGAGACTTTGGGAGACCGGGTCTCATAATCTGCATTGAGACTCTGGGAGTCTGCATTGACACTCGGATCTCAGAGTCCGTGTCGTTGAGACTCAGGTCTAGGAGTCTGAGGCGAGACTCTGGGAGAGCGGATCTCAGAGTCCGCGTCATTGAGACTCAGGTCTAGGCATCTGCGGCGAGACTCTGGGAGAGCGGATCTCAGAGTCTGTGTCGTTGAGACTCAGGTCTAGGAGTCTGTGGCGAGACTCTGGGAAAGCGGATCTCAGAGTCTGTGTCGTTGAGACTCAGGTCTAGGAGTCTGTGGCGAGACTCTGGGAAAGCGGATCTCAGAGTCCGCGTCATTGAGACTCAAGTCTAGGAGTCTGTGTCGAGACTCTGGGAGAGCGGATCTCAGAGTCCGCGTCATTGAGACTCAAGTCTAGGAGTCTGTGGCGAGACTCTGGGAGAGCGGATCTCAGAGTCCGCGTCATTGAGACTCAAGTCTAGGAGTCTGTGTCGAGACTCTGGGAGAGCGGATCTCAGAATCTGCATCGTTGAGACTCAGGTCTAGGAGTCTGTGTCGAGACTCTGGGAGAGCGGATCTCAGAATCTGCGTCGTTGAGACTCAGGTCTAGGAGTCTGTGGCGATACTCTGGGAGAGCGGATCTCAGAATCTGTGTCGTTGAGACTCAGGTCTAGGAGTCTGTGGCGAGACTCTGGGAGAGCGGATCTCAGAGTCTGTGTCGTTGAGACTCAGGTCTAGGAGTCTGTGGTGAGACTCTGGGAGAGCGGATCTCAGAGTCTGTGTCGTTGAGACTCAGGTCTAGGAGTCTGTGTTGAGACTCTGGGAGAGCGGATCTCAGAATCTGCGTCGTTGAGACTCAGGTCTAGGAGTCTGAGGCGAGACTCTGGGAGACCGCATCTCAGAGTCTGCATCGTTGAGACTCAGGTCTAGGAGTCTGTGGCGAGACTCTGGGAGGGCGGATCTCAGAGTCTGCGTGTCGTTGAGACTCGGTGGGGGGGGGGGGGGGGGTGGGATTTGAGACTGGATTAAGATTCAACAACAGCACAGCAACAGGCTGTCCTTGGCGTGTGTTGACATTGCGCAAAAAAAAAAAACAGCCGCGAATAATTGTTAAAATAAAGCGTAGAGCATAAAGCACTTATCATCGTCACCATTACCGTCGTCAGCGAAACGACGACACAAACACTGTAGAAATTTTACCTTCACGCCGGCATTTACGAGGCGCCACTACGACTATAAACCGGCGCGCAAGTTGGTGCCGAGCGGCTGAAGAGAAACACAAATCTGTTTAACAATGCAGCAGGGCCTTTTGCGCCCAATATCATCCATGACAAGAGGTGTTTTTAGGTTATATCGCGTAGATGCGAATGTTATCGTTTAACCCCATTTACTAATCGGCTGTGTCGGGTGGTGGCGGGTTTGACGACACAACTCGTTTGTATTCACGCGACCTAGACCCGACCAAAAAAATAAAAGCTCTGTTATGGACAATGTAAAAAAAAAAGTCTGTTTCCGTCAGAACTCGGAATGAGAATTAAGAGAGCGATAGAGGGGGGGGGCAGGAATCATATTCCTGGAGGGCACGACGTGGAATTCTGTCGCTAAACCAAAGACTGCCCTCACGCCCCTCAGCGGCGGTGACGGAGGCCAGGAGGCCACCGTTAAAGAGCGTGGGGGACACACCTGTGTGTAGGTACGTGTGTGTGTGTCACGGTACGTGTGTAGGTACGTGGTGTGTGCGTGTGTCACGGTACGTGTGTCACGGTGCGTGTGTAGGTACGTGTGTGTGTCACGGTACGTGTGTCACGGTGCGTGTGTAGGTACGTGTGTGTGTCACGGTACGTGTAGGTACGTGTGTAGGTACGTGTGTGTGTCACGGTACGTGTGTAGGTACGTGCGTGTGTCACGGTGCGTGTGTAGGTACGTGATGTGTGCGTGTGTAGGTACGTGGTGTGTGCGTGTGTCACGGTACGTGTGTAGGTACGTGGTGTGTGCGTGTGTCACGGTACGTGTGTCACGGTACGTGTGTCACGGTACGTGTGTAGGTACGTGTGTAGGTACGTGATGTGTGCGTGTGTGTGTCACGGTACGTGTGTAGGTACGTGTGTGTGTCACGGTGCGTGTGTAGGTACGTGGTGTGTGCGTGTGTCACGGTACGTGCGTGTGCGTGTGTAAAAGTATGCATGTGTGCGTGTAACGGTATATGTGTAGGTGTGTGTGTGTAAAGGTCAGTGGGTGTGTACAAGGTTGTGTATGTACGTGCTTAAGTGCGTTGTGCCAGCGCCGATAGCACTTGCCCCCAGCAGTCTGTTAAGGCTATATGGGGGTCTTTGTGTGGTCGAGTGTCTACATATCTCTGTGTCTCTATGTATCCGTGTGTGTGTGTGTGTGGGGCGTGTGTGTGTGGGGCGTGTGTGTGTGGGGCGTGTGTGTGTGTGTGTGTGGGGCGTGTGTGTGTGTGGGGCGTGTGTGTGTGTGTGGGGCGTGTGTGTGTGTGTGGGGCGTGTGTGTGTGTGTGTGGGGCGTGTGTGGGGCGTGAGTGTGTGTGTGTGGGGCGTGAGTGTGGGGCATGTGTGTGTGTGTGGGGCGTGTGTGTGTGTGTGTGGGGCGTGTGTGGGGCGTGAGTGTGTGTGTGTGGGGTGTGAGTGTGTGGAGTGTGTGTGTGTGGGGCGTGTGTGTGTGCATTTCTACATGTCCTTATGTATCTGTGTCCATGTCAGTGTGTGTGTGTCAATGTCAGTGTGTGTGTCAATGTCAGTGTGTCAATGTCAGTGTGTGTGTCAATGTCAGTGTATGTGTGTGTTAGTCAGTGTCTGTGTGTGTGTTAGTCAGTGTCTGTGTGTGTGTTAGTCAGTGTCTGTGTGTGTGTTAGTCAGTGTCTGTGTGTAAGTCAGTGTAAGTCAGTGTGTGTCAGTGTGTGTGTGTTAGTCAGTGTGTGTGTGTCAGTGTTAGTATCTGTGTGTATGTCAGTGTGTGTGTGTCAGTGTGTGTGTGTTAGTCAGTGTGTGTGTGTCAGTGTTAGTATCTGTGTGTATGTCAGTGTGTGTATGTCAGTGTGTGTGTGTATGTCAGTGTGTGTGTCAGTGTCTGTGTCAGTGTCTGTCAGTGTCTGTGTGTATGTCAGTGTGTTTGTCAGTGTGTGTATATGTCAGTTGGTGTGTATGTCAGTGTGTGTGTATTAGTCAGTGTGTGTGTATTAGTCAGTGTGTGTGTATTAGTCAGTGTGTGTGTATTAGTCAGTGTGTGTATTAGTCAGTGTGTGTATTAGTCAGTGTGTGTATGTCAGTGTCAGTGTGTCAGTGTGTGTGTATGTCAGTGTGTGTGTGTATGTCAGTGTCTGTGTGTGTATGTCAGTGTGTGTCAGTGAATGTGTGGCGAGCCCTTCACTTGCGAGGCTGCTGGATGTGTGCGTTGACGTGAGGAGTCGCCCAGTTGCGCTCCACCTTCGGCTGTGGCTTCTCGTGAGCGACTTTCACAGCCTCTGGGGGGAAGTCCTTATCCCCCTGAGACCACACGCACAGACACACAGATAAATATACACACACAAAGAGACACACACAGATAAATACACAAAGATAGAGACTCGCGCAGAGACTCGCACAGAGACTCGCACAGAGACTCACGCACTCACGCACACACACTCACGCAGACTCACACACACAGAGACTCGCTCAGACGCCCAGACACACAGACACAGATAAATACACAGACACACAGATAAACACACAAAGATAGAGACACAAAGATAGACTCACGCAGAGACTCGCGCAGAGACTCACGCACTCACGCACACACACTCACGCAGACTCACACACACAGAGACTCGCTCAGACGCCCAGTCACACAGACACAGATAAATACACAGACACACAGATAAACACACAAAGATAGAGACACAAAGATAGACTCACGCAGAGACTCGCGCAGAGACTTACACAGAGACTCGCGCAGACTCGCACAGAGACACTCACACAGAGACTCGCTCAGACGCCCAGTCACACAGACACCAACAGAGACACCCACAGACGCGCGCACACACACACACACAAATTCACAGGGAGACTCAGACTAACACAGACACCGACAGACTCACACGGACCCACAGACTCACTTGGACACATCTACAGACCCAGAGACTCACACAGGGGCCCACAGTGCCGGCCTTCATAGGTGTTACTCGTTGAGGCTATACGGTGCGATCTTTGTCTCGTGGGGAGTGGTGGCGCGGCGTTTAGCGCGCTGTGCGACGAACCCGGCGACGAGAATGATTCCCGCTCACGGCCACCACCGGTGACGATTATCCAAATCGGTCCTGGGCCTCCCCTAGGTCGACTCGGCCTCAAATGATTACGTGGTGTAGCGGTGGTGTGGAGTAAACATCATCGCTTGGAGAGACAAAGCCGGCCGGGCGTGGTGCTGGCCACCCCACCCACTTTGTGCATCACAATGCCGGCAGACTTCCATAGGCGCGGCTACTCGCTGCCAAGAGCACTTTCCCCGACAGCCTGCTGAAGGAGGCTACACGGGCGGAAGGGGTCTCTGTCTTTGTGTCGGGGAGACGTGGAGAAATTGAGACTCACCCTGGCGATGGCTCCGGACACGACGACGACTGGCGGCTTGGGCGCCGGCCTGAAACGACGGACAATAAGCACAGCAGGGGTGAGACGCGGCACCAGGAGTGGTCACGGTGGCGATGGTGGGGATGATATTTAGGGGGCACATCAGCCAGTCATCTCAGTCGGTCAACCCATGGCACATGGGTCTGTCCCGTGACCTCCTGCTGCACATAGCCTGGCACAGCAGTCAGCCCATGGTACCTGGGTCTGTCCCGTGACCTGCACCGAGCCTGGCACAGCAGTCAACCTATGGCAACTGGGACTGTCCTGTGACCTCGTCCTTCACCTAGCCTGGTACAGCAGTCAATCCATGGCACCAGAGTCTGTCACGTGACCTCCTGCCAGCGGGCTTTCGACACTTCACGTGGTCTCACAGAGCACCTAGCTTGGCACAAGCGCCGTGGTGATGTTACCGCCACTTAGAGGCAAATGGCGATTGTGGTTGTTGGTGATGATGGTGGTGGTGACAGTGGACATGGTAATGGTATAAATGCCTAGTCAGGCCTAGAGGCAGGCCTAGAGGCAGGCCTAGAGGCAGGCCTAGAGACAGGCCTAGAGACAGGCCTAGAGGCAGGCCTAGAGGCAGGCCTAGCGGCAGGCCAAGTGGCAGGCCTAGAGGCAGGGTTAGAGGCAGGCCAAGAGTCAGGCCTAGAGGCAGGCCTAGAGACAGGCCTAGAAGCAGGCGTAGAGGCAGGCCGAGAGTCAGGGTTAGAGGCAGGCCGAGATGCAGGCCTAGATGCAGGGCTAGACACAGGCCTAGAGGCGGAGCTAGACCCAGGCCTAGAGGCAGGGTTAGAGGCAGGCCTAGAGGCAGGCCTAGATGCAGGTCAAGAGGCAGGGTTAGAGGCAGGCCTAGAGGCAAAAATAGATGCAGGTCTAGATGAAGGCCTAGAGGCAGGCCTAGAGGCAGGCCTAGAGACAGGCCTAGAAGCATGCGTAGAGGCAGGCCGAGAGTCAGGGTTAGAGGCAGGCCGAGATGCAGGCCTAGATGCAGGGCTAGACACAGGCCTAGAGGCGGAGCTAGACCCAGGCCTAGAGGCAGGGTTAGAGGCAGGCCTAGAGGCAGGCCTAGATGCAGGTCAAGAGGCAGGGTTAGAGGCAGGCCTAGAGGCAAAAATAGATGCAGGTCTAGATGAAGGCCTAGAGGCAGGCCTAGAGGCAGGCCTAGAGGCAGGCCTAGAGGCAGGCCAAGAGGCAGGCCAAGAGGCAGACCTAGATGCAGGCCTAGATGCAGGCCTAGATGCAGGCCTAGATGCAGGCCTAGATGCAGGCCTAGATTCAGGCCTAGATGCAGGCCTAGATGCAGGCCTAGAGGCAGGCCTAGATGCAGGCCTAGACCCAGGCCTAGACCCAGGCCTAGAGGCAGGCCTAGATGCAGGCCAAGAGGCAGGCCAAGAGGCAGGCCTAGATACAGGCCTAGATGCAGGCCTAGAGGCAGGCCTAGATGCAGGCCAAGATGCAGGCCTAGATTCACGTCTAGAAGCAGGCCAAGAGGCAGGCCTAGATTCAGGCCTAGAGGAAGGTCTAGATGCAGGTCTAGAGGCAGGTCTAGATGCAGGCCGAGATGCAGGCCTAGAGGAAGCGCTAGATGCAGGCCAAGAGGCAGGCCTAGATGCAGGCCTAGAGGAAGGTCTAGATGCAGGCCTAGATGCAGGCCTAGATGCAGGCCTAGAGGAAGGTCTAGATGCAGGCCTAGATGCAAGTCTAGATGCAGACCTAGACCCAGGCCTAGACTCAGGCCTAGAGGCAGGCCTAGAGGCAGGCCTAGATGCAGGCCAAGAGGCAGGCCAAGAGGCAGGTCTAGATTCAGGCCTAGATGCAGGCCTAGAGGCAGGCCTAGATGCAGGCCTAGATGCAGGCCTAGATGCAGGCCAAGAGGCAGGCCAAGAGGCAGGCCAAGATGCAGGCCTAGATTCAGGCCTAGATGCAGGCCTAGATGCAGGCCTAGATGCAGGTCTAGAGGCAAGTCTAGATGCAGACCTAGACCCAGGCCTAGACCCAGGCCTAGAGGCAGGCCTAGAGGCAGGCCTAGATGCAGGCCAAGAGGCAGGCCAAGAGGCAGGCCTAGATTCAGGCCTAGATACAGGCCTAGATGCAGACCTAGAGGCAGGCCTAGATGCAGGCCTAGATGCAGGCCAAGAGGCAGGCCAAGAGGCAGGCCTAGATGCAGGCCTAGATGCAGGCCTAGATGCAGGCCTAGATGCAGGTCTAGAGGCAGGCCAAGACGCAGGCCAAAAGGCAGGCCAAGAGGCAGGCCTAGATTCAGGCCTAGATGCAGGCCTAGATGCAGGCCTAGAGGCAGGCCTAGATGCAGGCCTAGATGCAGGCCTAGACCCAGGCCTAGAGGCAGGCCAAGAGGCAGGCCTAGATTCACGTCTAGATGCAGGCCAAGAGGCAGGCCTAGATTCAGGCCTAGAGGAAGGTCTAGATGCAGGTCTTGAGGCAGGTCTAGATGCAGGCCGAGATGCAGGCCTAGAGGAAGCGCTAGATGCAGGCCAAGAGGCAGGCCTAGATGCAGGCCTAGATGCAGGCCTAGAGGAAGGTCTAGATGCAGGCCTAGATGCAGGCCTAGAGGAAGGTCTAGATGCAAGCCTAGATGCAAGTCTAGATGCAGACCTAGACCCAGGCCTAGACCCAGGCCTAGAGGCAGGCCTAGATGCAGGCCAAGAGGCAGGCCTAGATGCAGGCCTAGAGGCAGGCCTAGATGCAGGCCTAGATGCAGGCCAAGAGGCAGGCCAAGAGGCAGGCCTAGATTAAGGCCTAGATGCAGGCCTAGATGCAGGCCTAGATGCAGGCCTAGATGCAGGTCTAGAGGCAAGTCTAGATGCAGACCTAGACCAAGGCCTAGACCCAGGCCTAGAGGCAGGCCTAGAGGCAGGCCAAGAGGCAGGCCTAGATTCAGGCCTAGATGCAGGCCTAGAGGCAGGCCTAGATGCAGGCCTAGATGCAGGCCAAGAGGCAGGCCAAGAGGCAGGCCTAGATGCAGGCCTAGATGCAGGCCTAGATGCAGGCCTAGATGCAGGTCTAGAGGCAGGCCAAGACGCAGGCCAAGAGGCAGGCCTAGATGCAGGGCTAGATGCAGGCCTAGAGGCAAAACTAGAGGCAGGGCTGGAGGGAGGCAATGTCCATTGGTGGTGGCGAATGCGAGACGCGTCGCTGGCGGTGCGGGTGGTGGTGCTGTGGTGGCCATGCTGTGACCGTACGGGGCGGGCGTCTCCTCTTCCTCCTCCTCCTCCTCGCCGTGCTCGTCCGGCTTGCTGGGGACGGGTGCCGCGGGGGACCCAGGGTGGTGCTTCTGCACGATCCGCATCCCGCCGGCTCTCACTGAGAGACGGGGGTGGGGGGTGGGTGACCGAGGGAGAGACGGAGATGCAGGGGGAGACACGGGGGTAGAAGCGTGGGTAGACATGGGGGTGGGAAGAGATGCAGGGGGAGGCAAGGGGGGTAGAGAAAGGGAAGCAGGGGTAGACGCGAGGGAGACGTGGGGGGAGACATGGGGCGGGGGGAGGAGGGAGATGCGGTGGTGGGGGGGGAGATGAGGGGAGAGACGAGGAAGGGTGGGCGGGAGGGGAACGGAGAGTGGATTAAAATCGAGTGCCCTGTTGACGAACGTCGGCATCGCCGCCGCCGCGGCTTTACGACAACGCCGTCGCCGCGGCATCGATCGCTCCCAACCGCCCTGGGAAGGAGGCCCACCTGTATCCACACACACCGCGCGCACACACACACACCGCGCGTACACACACACACCGCGCGCGCACACACACACACACACAACGCGCGTACACACACACACACACAATGCGCGTACACACACACACCGCGCACGCACACACACACACACCACGCGTACACACACACACCGCCTCCCCGCCCGATAGCGATCGCAGTCTTATCTTATGCGTGGTGTTTAGTCGATACGGAGCTGCAGCCTGAGCTCAAGGTGAGTCTATGGGGCAGTGTTGAGTCTATGGTGCAGTGTTGAGTCTATGGTGCAGTGTGGAGTCTATGGTGCAGTGTTGAGTCTATGGGCAGTGTTGAGTCTATGGGCAGTGTTGAGTCTATGGTGCAGTGTTGAGTCTATGGTGCATTGTTGAGTCTATGGGCAGTGTTGAGTCTATGGGCAGTGCTGAGTCTATGGTGCGGTGTTGAGTCTATGGGCAGTGTTGTGTCTATGGTGCAGTGTTGAGTCAATGGTGCAGTGTTGAGTCTATGGCGCAGTGTTGAGTCTATGGGCAGTGTTGAGTCTATGGGCAGTGTTGAGTCTATGGTGCAGTGTTGAGTCTATGGTGCATTGTTGAGTCTATGGGCAGTGTTGAGTCTATGGGCAGTGCTGAGTCTATGGTGCGGTGTTGAGTCTATGGGCAGTGTTGTGTCTATGGTGCAGTGTTGAGTCAATGGTGCAGTGTTGAGTCTATGGCGCAGTGTTGAGTCTATGGGCAGTGTTGAGTCTATGGGCAGTGTTGAGTCTATGGTGCAGTGTTGAGTCTATGCTGCAGTGTTGAGTCTATGGTGTAGTGTTGAGTCTATGGGGAAGTGCTGAGTCTATGCTTCAGTGTTGAGTCTATGGGGCAGTGGTGAGTCTATGGGCAGTGTTGAGTCTATGTGCAGTGTTGAGTCTATGGGCAGTGTTGAGTCTATGGGCAGTGTTGAGTCTATGGTGCAGTGTTGAGTCTATGGTGCAGTGTTGAGTCTATGGGCAGTGTTGAGTCTATGGGCAGTGCTGAGTCTATGGTGCGGTGTTGAGTCTATGGGCAGTGTTGTGTCTATGGTGCAGTGTTGAGTCAATGGTGCAGTGTTGAGTCTATGGCGCAGTGTTGAGTCTATGGGCAGTGTTGAGTCTATGGTGCAGTGTTGAGTCTATGCTGCAGTGTTGAGTCTATGGTGTAGTGTTGAGTCTATGGGGCAGTGTTGAGTCTATGGGGCAGTGTTGAGTCTATGGGGCAGTGTTGAGTCTATGGGGCAGTGTTGAGTATATGGGCAGTGTTGAGTCTATGGGCAGTGTTGAGTCTATGTGGCAGTGTTGAGTCTATGGGGAACGGTTGAGTCTATGGGCAGTGTTGAGTCTACGGGCAGAGATGAGTCTATGGGCAGCGTTGAGTCTATGGGCAGCGTTGAGTCTATGGGCAGCGATGAGTCTATGGGCAGCGATGAGTCTGTGGGCAGTGTTGAGTCTATGGTGCAGTGTTGAGTCTATGGGGCAGTGTTGAGTCTATGGGGCAGTGTTGAGTCTATGGGGCAGTGTTTAGTCTATGGGGCAGTGTTGAGTCTATGGGCAGTGTTGAGTCTATGGGGCAGTGTTGAGTCTATGGTGCAGTGTTGAGTCTATGGTGCAGTGTTGAGTCTATGGGCAGTGTTGAGTCTATGGTGCAGTGTTGAGTCTATGGGGAAGTGTTGAGTCTATGGGGAAGTGTTGAGTCTATGGTGCAGTGTTGAGTCTATGGGGCAGTGCTGAGTCTATGGGGCAGTGTTGAGTCTATGGGGCAGTGGTGAGTCTATGGGCAGTGTTAAGTCTATGGGGCAGTGTTGAGTCTATGAGCAATGTTGAGTCTATGGTGCAGTGTTGAGTCTATGGGGAAGTGTTGAGTCTATGGGGAAGTGTTGAGTCTATGGGGCAGTGCTGAGTCTATTGGGCGGTGTTGAGTCTATGGGGCAGTGGTGAGTCTATGGGCAGTGTTGAGTCTATGGGGCAGTGTTGAGTCTATGAGCAATGTTGAGTATGAGCAATGTTGAGTCTATGGTGCAGTGTTGAGTCTATGGGGCAGTGCTGAGTCTATGGGCAGTGTTGAGTCTATGGGGCAGTGTTGAGCCTATGGGCAGTGCTGAGTCTATGGTGCAGTGTTGAGTCTATGGGGCAGTGTTGAGCCTATGGGCAGTGCTGAGTCTATGGGCAGTGCTGTTTGCGAGCAGCATCTATTAAGGCCGGCACGGCACACGAGGGGGGCGGAGTGGCCAACACACCGCATCTGGTACTCATTTATGGCCGAGTCGACCTAGGGGAGGCCCAGGACCGGTTCGAATATTTACCGCTGGCCGCGAGCAGGAATCGAACACGAGGCCTGGTAGCGCAGCGCGAACCGCTCCACCACCACTCCACAACCCCACCCCCCACCACACAAATCTATCACTCACTGCGCAGTCCATGGAATGCACGCGAGATGTTACCTCCCTGTCGTGTACAGGGTAGTCCTCTACTCACGATGGAGATGGGTTACGACGACCCCATCGTAAGTCAAAAATATCGTAAGTCGAAGATGGCCTAGCCTACCCAGGAGTCTTAAAGAATGGTGATAATTTAGCAAAAGAGAGCAATTTACAGTACCGTACTGTATAAACTATATACGATTGTTCACGCTTACAGTGGCTTTCGGACAGCATACATTAATTTTTCGTCTCCCCACTCCTCTTTTCAGAACATAGATGGATTCGTTCTTCTAAACAAACTGCCAAATCGCTGCCCGTGGTGCTAACGGTTTTTTTTAAGTAAATAAATACAAACACCGTTTAAAAATAAATAAATAAATGCTAACCGCCGCTTCTTTCAAATGTTTCTTGCCGTTGCTTTTCACACCTGATGACGACCGTTTGTGTTATGGTCGAAACGTCGTGAGAATTTTTATTGTTTTATATATATTTTATTATTTTATTGATTCCCTTCAACGTGACTTTACCGAAAGAGCTAAGAATATAAACTATATACTGCACGCATTTATTAATTACAACACTGCATTGCACGGTAAAATGTAAAGTAAAAAAAAAGGTTCATTCTTAGCCTACCTATCTGAGCTGCAATTTAATAGAAAGTTTGTTCAGGAAACAATCCTATCGGCTATTTAAAAATAAAACTTTCAACATGCTTTGAAACGCAAAAAAAAACACGGGAAAAAAATGTACACGCGCTAACCCCCGAGGACAACTGAACTCCGTCGACCGCTGCCGAGAGCGAGGCATCGCCATGCCAAGCTGGAGGCGCGTACATCCCGGCAGCGTCCCAACGTACAGATTCGTACCTCGTACGCTGCCGCGTTTGCCTGCCGCGCGAAATTTAAAATATTCGACAATTTCTGTCGTACCGCCATCGTAAGGTCGAAATATCGTAAGTCGGACCCCATCGTAAGTCGGGGACTATCTGTATTCGGAGTCTGCAATGTCCAGCGACCCTCCGCCTCCCCCCCCCCCCCCCCCCCCGTGGTGGTCGCTGCGTGGATTTTTCTCCGGCTCCTCCCGTATTTCACCTTCCACGTTGGCGATCAAAGTCACCGGCGCGTTTGAGGGTTACGTGGCTTCTGCGAATAAAACCCCACGGGATAACGACGACGAGCCACTTGGCCGAGCTGTCATTTGTGATCGCCAGGTCTGCTTTTGAAAAAGTAATATTTAAAAACACTTTTTTTTTTAAACACGCTTTAATGAAATGTACCGTACTCGTAATGGAAGAACTCCACGACTCCAGGAAGTGGCCCCGAAGCTTGCCATAACGTAAGGGGCCGTGGTGATTTACAGCCAACGTCAGTTGAGCGTGGACAATTAGACCCAGGCCGAAACATAACATATAAAAAAGAATGTTTAATTTTTTTGTTTTTTATGATAGCATATAGTATTGTCATCAGTATGACATAGGTATACCAAGTTTACAGTCGATAGCACATTGGGAAGTGGGTTAAAATTGAGTTACAAGATTTGAGGATACAACGACAGACAGCGAGTTCATAGAAAGCGTGGAATAAGAGCTGCGGAGCTCAGGTGGAGCCTTACCTGCAAAACGTAAAAATAGTTTAGTTTATACCCATAGACTCGCACAGATGTATAGAAACACACTGAGACCCGTAGACTCGCTTAGAGACCCATAGACTCGCTTAGAGGCCCATAGACTCACACAGATGTATAGACTCGCTTAGAGACCCATAGACTCGCTTAGAGACCCATAGACTCACACAGATGTATAGACTCGCTTAGAGACCCATAGACTCGCACAGAGATGTATAGAATGACACTGACAGCGTCAGACTCGCTTGGAGACCCATAGACTCGCTTAGAGACCCATAGACTCGCACAGAGATGTATACAAACACAGAGCCGTAGACTCACATAGAGACCCATAGACTCACTTAGAGACCCATAGACTCACACAGAGGTATTGAACGACACTGAGAGCCGTAGACTCGCTTAGAGACCCATAGACTCGTTTAGAGACCCAAAGACTCACACAGAGTTGTATTGATCACCGTACCGGTAGTCATACGGCGATCGCGTGCCCATGGTGGTGATGAACCCTAAGCCAAGAGCAAACCTCTCACTCACTCTCTACCCCGTGTGTGGATTAA